TGGCACTTGCCCTCAGTCCCTTCTAGAGAGTGAGCATCTTGGCTAGGCTCTGGGTGTCTTTGCCTGAGGCCCTGAATCCTAACCATCCCCGTCCACCATTCTGAATGAAATCATGGACACCTGAGCTCTAACTGGGTCCTCCCTGGAAAGTGGGATGAGAGGGACCCAAAAGTAGGTGCCCAGGAGACTTGTTAGGCAGGGCTTGAGGCAGAGAGAGGGACCTCAGACGGCCTTCCTGCTTCCAGAGCTGCCTCCCTCACTTCGCCCAGACTGAGTTCTCAGTCGTGCGGCAGCACGAGGAGTTCATCTGGCTGCATGACGCCTACGTGGAGAACGAGGAGTACGCCGGCCTCATCGTGAGGAGGGGCTGGGCAGGGCTGGGAGGGACAGGCAGAGCGTTGGGTGAGGACCAAAGGCTATGATGGCCGCCTTGGCAGTGAGAGGCCTCCCAGCTCCGTCCCTCCTTTGAGCAGATCCCCCCAGCCCCTCCAAGGCCAGACTTTGAGGCTTCGAGAGAAAAGCTGCAGAAACTGGGTGAGGGGGACAGCTCTGTCACTCGGGAAGAGTTTGCCAAGATGAAGCAGGAGCTGGAAGCGTGAGTGCCACCTCTTTTCCCTGCTATGCTCAGAGCCCAGCTGTCTTCCCCAGCTATCCTCCCAATGAATGTTTAGCAACCCTGACCTCTGACCCCAGAAAGGGGGCAGGCAGGATGACGGGAGCTGAGCAGGGCCTGTGAGCCGCTGCTGCTCTCGCAGGGAGTACCTGGCCATCTTTAAGAAGACAGTTGCGATGCACGAAGTCTTTCTGCAGCGCCTGGCGGCGCACCCCACCCTGCGCCGAGACCACAACTTCTTTGTCTTTTTGGAATATGGACAGGATGTGAGCTGGGCAGAATCCCTAAAATCACCCCTGGGGCAGGAATCTAGCTTGGGTTGGGAGGCCCCCAGGGTTGGCAGGGCTGGACAAGCGGCCCAAGTGGGCCCAAGCCTGTGTCTCAGCTCCGTGAGTGGCTTGTGACACGGGCTGGGAGACGAGAACGCCCACCCCACCATCACACCCTCCCTCCCTGTGTGCCTCAGCTGAGCGTCCGGGGGAAGAACAGGAAGGAGCTCCTGGGAGGGTTTCTGAGGAATATTGTGAAGTCCGCAGATGAAGCCCTCATCACGGGCATGTCAGGGCTCAAGGTAACCCTCGGGGCTTCTCTCTAGATTCAACCCAGTGCAAGTCCACAGCACAGACTGAGGCCCAGGCTGGCTGTGGGAGGGAAGCCAGTGGTGGGGCCTGGCCTGGATTGGAAAGAGATTTTGCCAACCCTGGGTGCCTGTGCTGCCAAGCTCCTTGGTGACCCAGTGTAAATGGGCTCCTGCCTGGCTCCCTTAGGAGGTGGATGACTTCTTTGAGCATGAGAGGACCTTCCTGTTGGAGTATCACACCCGTATCCGAGATGCCTGCCTGCGGGCCGATCGCGTCATGCGCTCCCACAAGTGTACGCAGGGCCCAAGGGGTCCTGGATCCCCCTGCCCCTCTCCCCAGCGGTTCAACTCCTTGGGGGAGAGAAGAGAGCAGGGCATGCCACAAGCACCAGGGCTTGACATGCAGATGTAGGGGCTCTGATGGGGGTTGTTCCCCAACAGGCCTGGCAGACGATTATATCCCTATCTCAGCTGCACTGAGCAGTCTGGGAACACAGGAAGTCAACCAGCTAAGGACGTGAGGACTCCTCCCACCTCTACCCTCTCCCTATGCCTGTAATACCATTTCTTCCCATGAGGGGCCACTCTGTAGATGTCTACTGTCAGCTCTAAGTGGGAGGTGTAGGCTCTCTTGTTGGGGGAGGGTGTTGGGAGGGAAAGGGGTGAGGGAGATTCCTGAGGAGAGGCTGAAGCAGAGAGGCTTTGAGCTGTGTCTCAGCCCGATACCCTAACTCCTCCCCACTGTTTCCTAGGAGCTTCCTCAAATTGGCAGAGCTCTTTGAACGGCTGAGGGTAAGTACTGCCTTCTCTTTCCTGGTGAGCTTTGGAGGGAAGATGAGTCCTGGCAGAGGAAGAGCTCCAGGATCATCTTGGGATATTCAGTGATAACTTGGGCCCACTGGCAAGTTGGTCTCACACTCCAGTCTAATTTAATAAGAGGTGGGGTGAAGACGAGAATCCAGCCTTGTGTGTGTGTGTGCGCAGGGAGGCACAGGGTGTGTCCAAACCTCTGGCAGGCTGCACCCAGCTGCCAGCACACTGCCCAGGTACATACTTTCCCCCCTCTTCCCCAAGAAAGTCACTGGAGTGTCTCCATCTTCCTAAAATGTCTGTTTAGACCGCATTTCTTCCTGCTCAGGGCCCTTCAGGGACCCTGCCTCTTCTGGAAGCTCCCCAAACCCCAAAGCCCAAAGTCCCAAGCTTCTGTTTTCAGCCTCTTGTGCTCCAGCCTCTGCCTCCATTCCCTGCTTTGCCCAAGTGCCCTCCCTGAACCCAGGCTTAATCCAGGTTATACCCAGGCTTGCACAGCTGCCAAGCCCTCAGCTCCCTCTGTCTGCCTTTTACTTAGTCTCCAAGATCCAGACTAGATGCCACTTCCTCTGTGAAGCCTTCCCTGGCCTGCTCCCCTGAACACCAGGTCTGACCTGGAGCAGTTACCTAAGGCTTCTTTGCTGGATATTTAGATGAAGAGGCACCTCCCACCCTTTAGCTGCCCCTCTGACAAGCTCCCTTCCCAGTGCCCACCTTTCTGATGCAGAAGCTGGAGGGCCGGGTGGCCTCCGACGAGGACCTGAAGCTGTCAGACATGCTGAGGTATTACATGCGCGACTCACAGGCAGCCAAGGTGAGAGGCAGCCCCAGAGCAGTGCTCAGGCCTGGAGACCAGGACAGGGCAGCAGTGACCCTGTGCCTGTGGTCCTAGGACCTGCTATACCGGCGGCTGCGGGCACTGGCTGACTATGAGAATGCCAACAAGGCGCTGGACAAGGCACGCACCAGGAACCGGGAGGTTCGGCCCGCAGAGAGCCACCAGCAGCTATGCTGCCAACGCTTCGAGCGCCTCTCCGACTCTGCCAAGCAAGGTGAGCCCGCAGCCCCCAGCCCAGAGCCACCTGTCCTGCCCTGCCCAGGGCCCCATGCCTCTTTCCCTCCTCTCCAGAGCTCATGGACTTCAAGTCCCGCCGGGTCTCCTCTTTTCGAAAGAATCTCATTGAGCTGGCAGAGCTGGAGCTCAAACATGCCAAGGTAAGCCCTCCCACCTCATGGGCCCTTGTGACGCCTCCCACCTCTAACCTCCCTCCCCCCACAGGCACGAGGGTATGCGTGCATGTGTGTACACGAGTGTGTATGTGCCTATGTGGGTGTGTGGAAGGGCCATCCATGAGAGCAGCCCCAGCTAAGGCTCAGGACCCTTCTTGGTAAGAAGCCCGTTAACCACACCTGTTATGCAGAGAGCAGAGGTGTGGGGAGCAAGGGGGCATCTAATGTGCAGAAAGAATGGCACTGACTCAAGGAGCAGGAGACTTCAAGGACCTGTTTCTCCTCTGCAGGCCAGCACCCTGATTCTCCGGAACACCCTTGTCGCCCTAAAGGGGGAGCCTTAGAGCAGCCAGACCTCTGCCAGACCTTGCTCTGGGATCTCTAGTAACCGGGGTATCCCCGATCCCTCTCCAGCAAGATGTCTCCTTCCCTAGCACAGCGCCACTAGCCACATTGTCCTCCCAAGGAAAGCCCAAACCCCCTACCCCCCACCACCACCAAAGGTGCCAGGCCCTGCAAGACACAGGGCAGCATGGGCATCATAATTGGCCACAGGTCAGCAGAGCCCCAGGGACCCTGACATCCCAACCATCAGGTTGAAGGACAGCCTCTACTCTCACCCATGGCCTTGAAGGAATCATAGTTCACTTGATCCCAGCCTGTTCTCCTTTACAAATAAAAACCCTGGTTTTGCAGCAAGGAGGCCTGTTGTCCTTACTTCCCACAGCTCAAGGGTCCACCAGGCACACCCTCTGCCAAGGCAGTATGAAGATCAGATCCTGGGGACACCACAGAGGGCACTCCTGCAGCATCCTCAGCCCTCTCTCCAGTGGCAGCAGGCTCCCTGTGAGAAGGCAAGACACCCAGAACAGTCTTCCAGATTTGCCCCCACTCCCACAAACCCTAGCACCAAGATGAATCCCAAGTTTTCCACACCTGTTTCCTAACCAGAAAAGGGACCTAGTCCTTCCTCCCAGAACAACTCATGAGCTCCCAGGAGTTAAGGAGCCAGCTCTAAGTCAGGATGCAGCCTCCCTTCTCAGTTGAGGTAACTAGGGAGGAGATATAGACCCCACATTAGCACTATGAATTCACCTCACCCCTAGGGCCAGACTTCTTTCATGTCCTTGCCTGCTGGGCAGGTGAAAGCCCAAAGTACAAGCTGGAAAACAGCCCATGGCAATGGTGGCAAAAGGCACCGGCAACACCCTTTTGGTTAAACATAGGGAGGCGGTGCCTAAGACACCTGGGTCTGAAGTCCTGGGCTCCACCTGGGTGGCCCCACCCTCAACAGACTTCAGCCACATCTACAGGTCAAAGGCTCAACTTGGCCTCTTACTCATAGAAGCCACTGGACCTGACCCTCATAAATTTGAGTCAGCCATCTAGGGAAGACAGACCAAACCAAACCTTACAGATACCTGTGATGTGCCTATCAGCCCACAACCAGGCAGGGACAGAACAGAGTATCAGATGGACCTCACTGCCTGACCAGGCAAAGCTACAGAACAGCCAATTCAGGCATGAGTCACTTTTGCTGGAGAACCCCTGTAGCCAGCAGCAGACACACCCACCCTTCAACAGCCAGTCTGTTGCACCAACAGAAATGGTGACCATCGGAAGAGTGTCTCAGCCAGTCACAAGCCAGACAAGGGTGTGCAGGGGCTGGTTGGGCATGGGGTACAGAGAACACAGATAGTACCATTTTCCCAGTGCACCCCCACTCCCTAAGGTCTCCTGGGCCCCAACCTTGAAACACACATCTCATTAATGAGTCTTTTTATTGTCTTTTTTTAAATCGAAGGTCCCTTAGTGGTCCTGCTTCCATGAGTAGCAGTGACCAGGGGAAAAGGGAGAGGAACCAGCCGGCACAGGGAGGGGTCATCTCCACAACATTCCATTTATACACAGAACTAAACAGACAAGCACAGAGTCACTATTGCGGTTAGAAGTTGGCAGCATGGGAAGGGGGAGGAACAAGTGGGGATTGGGGATGTTGTTAAAAAAAATACAGGCTCTCCCCACAACTGGGAGGCCTCAGGGGAACTTGGTCTGCTTCAACCCAAGAGGAATCAGAAGATCAAAAGCAGTTTGGGAAGGCCAGAACCGTCAGGGATGGAGGGAGGAGGAAAATCCAGGGGGTGAGGGGTCTGTTTGGCAACTGGGGTGAAGGGATTGCCCTCCCCCTGCTGGGATCCCCCCAGCCCCTCCGGTCTGGCAGGAAGGGGGCAGCCTGCAACCCCCAAGGGCAGGTGTGGGGCTGCCAGATGCTCCAGGCAGGGGGCCAGAAGGGGCTCACAAAGGCTTGCCCTCCAGGGAGATGACAGCACTGCCCCCCAGCTTCTCTGCCAGGGTGCAGCGGTCCTTGACCTCCTCGTAGCAGTTTGCTTGCAATTCATGCTTGATCCCTGTAGGGAAGAAGGGGGAGCATCTGTGAGCAGGAAGCACTGGGGTGGGCAGTTTCTGTGGTTGGGAATGAGCCAATCAAAGCAGATGGAAGGAACAAGCAGGCGGTGAAGATAAGGGGGTGGACCCCCTCTGAGTGACATTCACCCTACTCTGCAGCCAAGGCCAGAGCAGAAGGGCACCCAGTACCAATGCTGGCCCTTACCTGTCAGCTTCTTCTTGATGGCGTCCTTGGAGCTGGCATAGATCATTTTGCTCTTAAGGGGCGCAGACTCAGGAGCCCTGAACAGAAAGATGCATCAGGGCTCTCACAGCAACAGCAAAGCCATAGGTGACTTTGAGAAACCCTTGGGCTGGCAGTGAAGAGTCTTTTGTTACAACCCCTACCCCAAACCCACACCTCTGGAGCCACAGATGAGAAAGGGGGAAGGTGATAGAAAGAAGTGCCAGGATGAAGAAGAGCTCACCAGAAGATAAACACCAGGTCCTCCTTCTTGCTCTCCTTGGTCTCATAGGTTGCATCATAAAGGGCGTAGCGGCAGTCCTTATCTGGCAGCATCTTGACAAAGGTGGCATAGGGGTCATCGACAGTTTGGCCCACATCGCCCACCAGGATCTCCTTGCCCTCCTCCAGGATGATGTTCTTCTTGTCCTCACTCAGGCAGAAGAGCACAGCCTTCTTGCGCTTCTTTACCTCCTCTGGCGTTGAAGACTTACGCACCTTCATGTCATTGAACACCTTGATGACTCCATCAGAGACAGCCACACCAGAGGCCTAGGAGACATGCCACATATCCCTCCTCAAAAAAAGGATTCTAGGGAATTGCCCCTTGTTTTCAATTCTCAGTCCGCGCCGGGCACTAGTGCTCTTCCCAAGGCAAGTCACTGGTGTTTCCCAACCCAGGCCACTGTCAAAGAACCAGATGGGACACAACCCCAGAACGGCAGCCATGGCTTCTGATCACCTAGTTCAATAACCCCCACCCCCCTTATTTTACAGGAAATGGAAAACTCGTGAAAAGCAAAGCCTTGACCGATATGTGGACCCAGAATTAAAAGATCCACTGGCTCCTCACAGTATTTGCTCTCAACCTTTAGATAAAAGTGGTGACGTCGAACTTCGCAGATAGAAGGACCCAAACACCCGAAGCAAGACTCCTCTTCAGAAAGAGCCGAGACCCCACAATGCTAAATCGGACCCAAGGGCATTGAACAGTTCCAACAAATCCACCAGAACTGCTTAACGCAGTTATTACACAAACGACGCCTGTTCCCTGCGAGGGTCTTTTTCAACCAAAACAAGAATCACAACCCCCACTAAAGACCCTGCCTGACAACTTTCTTCTGGGAATGGGCCCCAGAAGTTGCTGGTAGAAACTGACATGCCAAACTCAAGTGCCCAGAGGCCTCGAGAGCTCTTTAAACTCCTACTCTGCACGGTGCTTCGGGGTGCCCGAGACAGGAGACGGAGGGACTGACCACGGTAAATCTGCTCCCTCGAACTCCCCGGAACTGCAGATAAACTGGCCACGTGACCCAACCGCTTCCGGAGTGGGCGGGGAAAGGAGATCAGCTAGGCTCGGCGGCCCCCTCCCCAGTAGAGAAACGCGTACCCTAAAGGCAGCAGCACCTCCAGGTCCCTAACCCTGTGGAATCGCCTTAACCAACGGGCATATCAGACCCATCTGCTGCAGGCAGGAGCCTGGGCAAGCTACATAACCTTCGGTTTTCTCAGCCCTATGGCCGTATGCAGGGGGCGGGATGGTTTCCGGGCGGTGCCCGCCTGGGTCACTTCCCTAAACTCGGCTCCACCCTCAGGCCCATCCGGGAAGGCCCCGCTCGCCCAGAGCTTCGACACCGGCGGCCGGGCCTGAGAGTGCGCGCACGCGCCGACGGACAGCGCCGTTCCAGCCCTCGCACGATGCAAGGGTGAGAACGCAGCTCGATGGGGTGCGCTCCAGAGCCGGCCACGGTCTCTGGGATGCCCCCTCCAAGCCTTGCGGTGCAAGGCCCTAATCGCAGACACCCATGCCCCAACCAGAACTCTGTTGTCCCAGCATCCCCCCTCGCCGCGACAGCGCTCGCCCCTCCCCGGCGCAGGCATCTCTGCCACCTGCTACCGAGACGGACCCGGCTGCCGAGGGAGGGTGACGCGGAGACAAGAACAGCCTTGGGTGGGGCGCGCGCGCAGAGACCTCTCGCGCGCTTTTCCCTCACCGCCCCCGGGCCGGGTTTGGACGCCGCGTGCTCCAGTCGAGAGCGCGCCCCTAAGAAACAACGCACGACGCAGGCCGTTCAGCGAGGGGCGCGCCGGCGCGCGACCCAGACCCCTCCCCCCGCGGCCGCTGTCCATCAGCGCGGGCACACCAGCGGGTGGGGGAGGGGAGAGGAGCCCAGGGAGCGCGCGAGCGACGTCCAGGCCGGCCCTCCCCGGCGCCCCCGGGCGCGCACGCGCATTCCGGTACTGCCCGCCCCTCCGTGCGAGACCCTCATCCCGCCCGGGGCGCTGGGGGAGGGGGTGCCGGACATCGCTCCCCCGCCGCCTCCCGAGCGCAGGCGACCGACCCGCAGCCTCCTCCCTCGGGCGCCGTGGCCTGCCGCTCACCATGTTTCCGGAAGCGAAAAGAAGAGGGCACGGAAAGCCACAGAAGAAGAGAGTGCTGCAGCCGCTGCCGGGACCCGACTGAACGCGGCCTCTCCCGGCCCCTTCCGTTTAGTAGGAGCCGCACAATGAGGGGCGGGGCGGGCTTCCGGTGCTCCCTCCGCGGGCCGACGGGAAATGGAGTCCGGCGGCCCTGCTCCGCCGCCGCGCTCGCTGGGTAACGGAGTCTTCCCGCGGGTCGGCCCCGCGCCGCAGTGCATGCGGGGAAATGTAGGCCCGGGCCGCGGGCAGGGCCGCAGCGCGCAGCGCGAGCCTATTGGTCCAATTTAACAGGAACTGCTCTGAGTCCTGCGAGGCGGCGCTCAGTAAAATGACCCGAAAACGATCCCGGATTAAGCGGCTTTTTATCCCGAAGCAACACGGCTTTCTTAAGACCCATCTGATATTATCTGGCTTCCTTGTTCTGAAATTTTTGAGTAAAGTTAGGGTTTTGCTTTTCTGAATTGAATCCCGTCCTAAAGCAAAGAAAATCACAAGTATGAAGACGTTGTCAGGCCGACAAACACTAGTACTCTGCATGTGCAAAGCCACTTTCGTCTTCTGATAAAAGGCCATGTGCAACGTCAGTAAAATAAAAATAGGAGAAAAAGGCACAGGGGAAAGGCTGCAAGGAAATCTCTGAGAGCTTTGTTCTTCTTTAAAGATGTTTGGCAAAGTCATGAGGCGATAAAGGGTAAAGACGAGGAATGAATTGTACATTCAAGGCCTCGTTACGTGCCTTTTACGTGCCAGTGAAAAGGAACAGATATTAAACCAGACTTGAACCCAGCTCTCGAGTTTATAGCCAGGCATATGGCTCTTCCAACACCTGTAAAAACTGAGACAAGTTCTGTGGTAGTATATTCCTTAAAAAAAAGAAACGAGCGGGGGACTCCGGGATGATTTTGTTGTCCTATAACAGTGCCACAGCCTCACGCCCAGGAAGAGAAGACTGTGTCGCAAACAAGTAAGAGTCAAACCCAGAAATGGACCTGGGGGCCTTAAACCCGTAAACGGAATTAAGGTTGTAAACGGAGAGCGATGCTTGGAAGTGGGGTACCTTGCAGAGCATGCCGGGGGTTGTAGTCGGGGACGTTCCACAGCACCGCTCTCCACTCCGGGCTCGCAGCGCTCCAGGTGAAGGCTGCAGCTTGACCCCCGCCTCCCGCGAGTGCCCCTGCCTGAAGACGAGGCTAGCGCCACCTTTTTTGAGTCTTAGAGTTTCCAAGAGCAACGAGGAGGGGGACGGGGCTTCGCAGTTTCCCTGGAGACGCGCTCCTGCCCGCCCCTAGCCGCGAGATGCCCTAGATGTCCTTATTAGGACAAGAGACTCGAGGGGGGCGGGGCCAGCCCGACAGCCGGCTTCAGGCTCCTTATAAGGCCGCGCCGGTAGGGAGGTGGGAGCCGGAGCCGGCTGGCGGAGTCCGGAGGGGCGGGCCTCGAGCTCTGGCGCCCACCTCTCTTCCTCGCAGGCTAGAGACCTGCGTCTCGCGACTTCCGGCATAACAGCTAGAGGCCGGGTGTTGCTTCAATCCCTGGCAAGTAGCCTGTGTCCAACTCAGCTATACTAGTCCTTCAGGAGTGAGGTTGAAACCCTTTGTAGGGTTTCCATTTGCAACCTCCTTGAGGGTCTCCCACATCCGATTGGCCACAAAAACGACGAAGTGTTCTGCCGTCTACCTGTGTTTGGTCGTCTTAACCCGCGGCCTGCTCCACCCGCCCCCGAACCCAACCACGTGCCCACCTCAGGTCTCCCCAACTGCCAAGGTGCCCAGGCACCTCTTAATTTACAGTTCTTCCACTAGGCCTCTGGCCCCCAACCCCCCAGGTCCTATTTTGGGCCTTCTCGGCACGTCCCCGACTTTCTCCCCACCACACTCTTTGCCCTCTATCCTGGGGATGAGGGCCACCATTTCCTCCAGGGATGCTGCAGCTCCTCCTGCCTTACCTTTGTGGCCTCATCCCCGGCGCTCCTTTCTGGGTGTCCCTCCCACCAGTATGTTTGCACCCGTTTGTTTCCCGGCCCCTGCCTCTTCGGGACTCTTCCTCAAGCCCAGTCTCCATCTCCAGCCTCCTCTTCAAACTTGAGGCGGAAACTGACAATCTTAGAGACCTTAGAGCGGCCAAGTTCATGTTGGGCCGTTAAGCACCGCCCAGCCAGTCCTCCCCCGTCACAGGGGGCGCTGTCCGTTTTCCTCTAACCTACACAAAGATGACCCCGCTCTCGAATCTGAGGTGACTGGAAGGAGCAGGTCCAGGTTCCGGGGACTGGGGCGGGGTGCGTCCCAAAGGCTGGTCCTGGCCGGAGCGGGGCCGAGGCGAAATATTGTTAGAGACAGCGCCGCGCACCAACCACTTAGAGCAGCGCAGGTTCTCTCGTTAGTGCCCCTTGCGTAAGGGGGCCCGTGATCTCAGCGGTCCTGCCCTCAGCTTCCCTCTTCTGCCGCCCCGCCCCCGACCAGGTGTTCGAATCCCGACTCCGGAACTGGCGGCGTCCCAGTCCCGCCGGAGGACCCGCCTTCGGGCTCATGGCTGCGCCAGTCCGCCTGGGTCGGAAGCGCCCGCTGCCTGCCTGTCCCAACCCGCTCTTCGTTCGCTGGCTGACCGAGTGGCGGGACGAGGCGACCCGCAGCGGACGCCGCACGCGCTTCGTGTTTCAGAAGGTGGGTCTTTGCGCGGACCGATGGGAACAGCTGCTGGCCAGGTCAGGCCTGCCCTGACCAGTTACCCTACCCCTGCCCCGCCAGGCGCTGCGCTCCCTCCGGCGGTACCCACTGCCGCTGCGCAGCGGGAAGGAAGCTAAGATTCTGCAGCACTTTGGTGACGGGCTCTGCCGGATGTTGGACGAGCGGCTGCAGCGGCACGGAACATCCGGCGGTGAGCGCCTCAGAAAGGGGTTGGTGATCCCCTGCCTCCCCCAGGTGCAGCCTCGGTACTCACCTGGGATCCCTTGGCTTCAAGCTCCTTACTCCTGTCCAAATTTCTGTTCCGCCTCGGGCTAGTGGCTGGCGCTCCCTGAGCCACCCTCACCGGTCTCATGTACCATCTGAGCAGGTTGCATCCCAAACCCTCGCAGCAGCTGGATTCCATGGAGTGCGGAGTTGACTCTCTTCTGCTCCCGCAGGTGACCATACCCCAGCCTCACCATCTGGACAGAACAGTCCAGCACCGCAGGGGCGACCTGCAGAAGTCCAGGACTCTTCCATGCCAGTGAGGAAGGGGCAAGGGGAGTGGAAGGCAAAGCGGGAGTGCGGGAGTATGATTTCCTGGCTTGGGGGACTTGGCAAGCCTGAGTCCAAATCTCACTATCGATGCTTGGCCTTGGGCAAATGACTTATCCTCTTTTCGACTTAGTATTTTAACCTGTGAATGGGAATATTGGTAACAGCCAATAAGAGAATTCCATGATCAAGCTACTTAGGGAGCACAGCTCAGTTAGTTACAGGGTCATCGTCATTCAGTTTTCCTGTCTAATCACTCCTGTCCTGCCCCGAATCATAGACTTGAAGCCAGGCTGGGCCAACACCCCTACCGGCTGCCCCAAACTGCCTGCTGTCTCATCCCAGATTTGCAGGGGGTCATTGCATCACTTGGCCCATTTTACTGAGAAGGAAACTGAGACTCAACTGAGTGACTTACCCAGTGCCACGAAGCCTGTGAAACCTCAGCCCTGCCAGGGACTTACTGGAAGATGACTGGCTGGCTTTCATGTTCAGAGCTCCTCTGTTCCTTTCAGGTTCCTGCCCAGCCCAAAGTGGGAGGCTCTGGTAGCTACTGGCCAGCTCGGCACTCAGGAGCCCGAGTAATACTACTGCTGCTCTACCAGGAGCACCTGGTGAGCACCAAGCTACACCGGGAGGTGGGGTGGGAGGTTCCCAGAGGTGCCTGGCCAGGACAAGACAGGTAAAGATTATCCCAGCCACCTGAGCAGGATGAGGGGCCCTGGCACTGAGCCTACCCTGTCTCTTCTACCATGGTTTCAGAATCCTAAGGGCCACCAGTTCTTAACCAAGGAGGAACTGCTGCAGAGGTGTGCTCAGAAGGCCCCCAGGGTGAGCACAGGGGTCAGGGAGGACAGGCCCAAGCGGCTCGGGAGCCCACTGAAGACTGCCCTTTCTTGCAATGAGCACATGTGTGGCCCATGGCTGGGGACAGAGGGAACATGGACCCGTGGTGGCAACAGTTGCTCTCTGAGGGTCTCTTTTCCAATCCACAGGTAGTCCCTGGGAGTGCTCGACCCTGGCCAGCCCTCCGCTCCCTTCTCCACAGGAACCTGGTCCTCAGGACACACCAGCCAGCCAGGTGGGGCCAACTGCAGGAGATACAGGAGGCAGGGATGGGACAGTACGCATGACCCAACACCTCCCAGAGCTGATGCTGTTGAGGTTGGGAGATGTGGGCCTTCCCTCAGGAGCTCCCACTGTTGGAATACCTGGAGGGTAACTGGAGAGAACAGTCCAAGCCTGCAGCAGTGGGAGTGGGAGGGCGCCATGGGTTTTGAAGGAGGAGAAAGCCTTTTCAGAGGAGATAGCATTTGATACATTTCAGGATTTGGCAGGTAGAGATGCAGGATAAGTATTCTGAGGAGGAGGAAACAGCATTAGTGAAGACAGGAGAAAGGAAATTGTCTGAGACTGACTTATTGCAGACCTGAGAATGGCACTGAGCAGGTCCAAGGAACTGCTCTAAGAGCCAAGAAGACCGGGAGGAGCAGGAGCCACTGGGGTCATTTGTGCAGAACGCCAAGGGGGCAGTGAGGCTAGCCCAGCTGGGGGCAGGCAGGAGAGCCTGCCAGGAATGAGTGAAAAAGGGAGAGCTGTGTTTGTCCCCTCTGCTTCCCAGGTACTCACTGACCCCAGAGGGCCTGGACCTGGCCCAGAAGTTGGCTGAATCAGAAGGCCTGAGCTTGCTGAATGTGGGCATCAGGCCCGAGGAGCCCCCTGGGGAGGAGACAGCAGTGCCAGGAGCAGCTTCAGCAGAGCTGTGAGGAGGAGTGGGGAAGAGAGGAAAACAGGGAGACGGGGATGGGAAATGCGGCCAAAACCCTGCAGCTAAGCTGTGGCTGCCCCCTACTGTGGGTGGGTGTTAGGTGGTGTGGGTACAGTGCAACTGCCCTGGCATGAGGGATTCTGGCCTCACACACCACCCCCACTTAGTGCCAGTGAAGCAGGGGTCCAGCAGCCACCACTGGAGCTGAGGCCTGGAGAGTACAGAGTACTATTGTGTGTGGACATCAGCGAGACCCGGGGGTGAGTGAGGTGGGGAGAAAGAGAGGATCGGAGGAAGCTGGGGAGTAGGCACTGCCCTTCCCTGCCCTGATCTAAGCTTCCTTCCTTGCCACTCCAGGGCGGGGCACAGGCCGGAGCTACTCCGAGAACTACAGCGGCTGCATGTGACCCACACAGTGCGCAAGCTGCATGTTGGGGATTTTGTGTGGGTAGCACAGGAGACCAATCCTAGAGATCCAGGTGAAGGGCCATGGACGGGCCGGCGCCAGGGGCAGGGCCTGGTGAGTGGGGCATGGCAAGCTAACGGGACCCTTCCTGGCTCCTCAGCAGCAAGCCCTGGGGAGTTGGTGCTGGACCACATCGTGGAGCGCAAGCGGCTGGATGACCTGTGCAGCAGCATCATTGACGGCCGCTTCCGGGAGCAGAAGGTAACTTCGCTGGATTTGCCAGGGTCCCTGCCTGCTCTGGGGCCCCCTTTTCAGGCCAGAGCAATCCAGGAGCACTTCCGGCAGCCTCCTTGAGGCAGAGCCCTTTGGACTCCAGCCACACCCACCCTGTGGCTGCTCCAGGATTAGACCCCCACAGGCCCATCCAGGCCCACAGTAGGAAGGCAGGGTACCTGCATTCTTGGGCTGAGCTCAGGAGCAGATTAAAGATCCCTTGGGTACCCAGTTCCTCAGTCTTGGATAAACAAGGCTCAAATCTCCAGGACTGGAAATACAGACACTGTACCTTGGTACTTGCTGCTGGGCGGACCCCATCGTCACAGGCCCAGGGCAGGCTTGAAGGATGGACAGTGTTCAGAGATGGAAGAGGGGCTTTCTAGGCAAGAGTGTCAGTATGAGCAAAGCCACAGAGGCCCCTCTGAGGCAGGGGGAGAGGCTAGGGAGGATACGGAGGCTAACTGCTAGGACCAGGGTCACAGCACCATTTTGAGTGTGACATGATGGATGCCCAGACACATGGGCATCCAGCCGGACCCTCCCTGCCTACTCTGTCCACCTCCCCAGTTCCGGCTAAAGCGCTGCGGCCTGGAGCGCCGGGTATACCTGGTGGAAGAGCATGGATCAGTCCACAACCTCAGCCTTCCTGAGAGCACGCTGCTGCAGGCTGTCACCAACACTCAGGTGGGCTGGAAGGGCAGAGCCAGGCAGACAGGGACCCCTGTGGTCTGTGGTTCATGGTCTGGGCCAGGAGCCACCTTCCCTCTCTTGGGTGGTCTTTCCTAGGTCATTGATGGCTTTTTTGTGAAGCGCACAGCAGACATTAAGGAGTCAGCCGCCTACCTGGCCCTCTTGACACGGGGCTTGCAGAGACTCTACCAGGTGAGCAGGGCCCGCAAGGAATTCGCCTTGCCTGTGCATCCCCAGGAGAAGCAAGGTGGGTGAGATCCCATTTCTCAGGCTGACCCCCTGAGGCCGAGGACTGGGCAGGAGCTGGCTGGAGTTGTCCCTTCAAGCTCAAGCCTGGCCTCAGCTCCTTCTTCCCTCAGGGCCACACCCTACGCAGCCGCCCCTGGGGAACCCCTGGGAACCCTGAATCAGGGGCCATGCCCTCTCCAAACCCTCTCTGCTCACTCCTCACCTTCAGTGACTTCAACGCAGGGGCCATCAAGAACAAGGTACTGCCTCTTCCCTGCTTCCCTGACAGGGCCCGGCCCAGATAACCCCTGATCCAGCCCTTCCCCAAACCCAGGCCCAGTCGGTGCGAGAAGTGTTTGCCCGGCAGCTGATGCAGGTGCGCGGAGTGAGTGGGGAGAAGGCAGCAGCCCTGGTAGATCGATACAGCACCCCTGCCAGGTAGGCCCCCGAGGGCCCTTAGATGTCCTCAGCCCCTGCCCTCCATGCATGGAATTCACCTTAATCCATGCCTTGTGTGGGCTGTGCAGACCCAGAGATGGACAGATCTGGCTGAAGTCCGGGGTGCTCATGGAGGTCAAATGGGGAGGAAGCCAGCAGGCCCACACAGCGTCCCAGGCAGTGGAGGCCACAGGAGGGAGGGAGACATCCCAGCTGGTGGAGCAGAGGCTTCCTGGAGAAGGGGGCTGAGCCATTAAGGGGAGTGGGGGTGACAGTTTGGAGCCCTTGCTGGTTTTGCCTCGGAGTTCCCTCAGGGAGGGAGGATAGGCAGGCTGGCGTGGGGCCTTGTGTGCTGGGCTCAGGAAGTGGGGCAGTGGCCCAAATCCTCTATCCCACGCTGACCCCTCTGCCTGGCCCCTCATGGTACTGGTCTGGTGTGAGCCACTGTCAGCCTCAGAAACTCAAACCCCTGCCCCCAGCCTCCTGGCCGCCTATGATGCCTGTGCAACCCCCAAGGAACAAGAGACACTACTCAGCACCATCAAGTGTGGGCGTCTGCAGAGGTGAGGACAAGAGGCACAACCTGGAGGGAGTGGCGGGGGCCGGGGCTGCCCTAGGCCCAGAGCATGACCCTCACTGCCTCTCTTCCTGCAGGAATCTGGGGCCTGCTCTGAGCAGGACTTTGTCCCAGCTGTACTGCAGCTACAGCCCCCTGACCTGAGCTTATGCCACAAAGCAGCCCCCAGCTCCCATCTGTCCCCCCACCCAGGCTAATCAGCCTTTCAGCCAGCATTGTTTGGGGTACAATTAGAATCTAAGTATTTGCAGCCATATGTATTATATAGGAGATGCCCGGCCCTGGGGCCTTGTGAAATATGCAGGAACCAGAGATACCATCTGGTCCAGCAGTTTTTAAACCAAGCTGCTTAGGACCTGGGATTCCCTGGTCAGGGAGATGGAGTCAGTGGGCACTGCAGCTTTGGACTGACTTTATATCATCAGTTGGTCCTTATCAAATAAAACTTCCTTAGAAGTGCAGAGGGAAGATAAAATAAATAAAACTTACTGGGAAAATTAAAATAATAAAAATAAAACTTCCTAAAAGAAAAGCTCAAAAACCACTAACAGTCCAGTTGCCTCATTTTATGGAAAAACAGTCTCAGGGAACCACTAGGACTTGTCAAAATGTACAGCTTGAGACAGAGTTAGGCTGGAACCCAGGGCCTCCTGACGCTATCCCGAGTGCAGTTTCTCAGGACCCCTGCAGAGCAGCCAAGTCCAGATCTCTGGTCCGCCCTCCTCATTACCTCCTCTGCTCTCGGGGTGACTGAAGCCTGTGGTACGGAGCTCCCAGCTCCTGTCAGTGGGGCCCCCTGGGTCTGAGCACACAGAGACCCCCACTTAGGTGGACTTGGCCTGCCCCAGCCTGAGGCTTGCTGCAGTGTGACCCTCCCACCTCAGCCACCAGGACTCCTTCTTTCTCCCTTTATTGCCTTTCTCATTCTGCCCCTCACAACAGGCTCCTCAGCTAAGGGAGCTGCGGGAGGGTGGCTCCCTCCTGCTCCTCAGAAGGTGTAGGCCCCCACGAAGACGGTGAGTCTCAGTACAGAGCTGGCCCGGTAGCTCATGAGGGAGTTCATGGTGACCATCTCCAGGTCCAACACATACTCCCGGGGGCCTGTCACCGGCCGGGCGAGGACCAGCATGGCGCTGACGTTGTTGATTTGCTGCAGGGCAGTGGGTGGGGGGACATATTTATTGTGTCAGCCTGTGTGCTAGGCCTCAGCCCCAGTGTCACCTCCCTGCCCCGTGGCCGTGAGGTGGAGAGACAGCCGTGTCCAGGCCCTGACCCCAGGCTCTCAGTCAGGACTCTCATCTGGCTCCTTGACACCCTTGACATCTCTGCTCAGAAATTTCCCGACTCAGAAATCTCCTGCTGGGGCTCTTCCCACGCTTTCCAGCTAGCTCTGTCTAACCCAGGCTAACTGATGATTGAAGGCCACATGTTGCTCTCGGGAGTGGTGGGACCTTTGGTGACCCAAAGTGAGCAGACTCCCTTCAGAGCATTTGATTTCTTCTTTTCTTTGTTTGAGATGAAGTCTCCCTCTCGACCCCCAGGCTGGAGTGCAATGGTGCGATCTCAGCTCACCGCAACCTCTGCCTCCTGGGTTCCAGCAATTCTCCTGCCTCAGCCTCCTGAGTAGCAGGGACCACAGGCACATGCCACCATGCCCAGCTAATTTTTGTGTTTTTAGTAGAGGTGGGGTTTCACCTTGTTGGCCAGGCTGGTCTCAAACTTCTGACCTCAGTTGATCCACCCACCTTGGCGTCCTAAAGTGCTGGGATAACAGGCTTGAGCCACTGTGCCCAGAGCATTAATGGCCCAGCGCATTCAATTTGAAAAAGAAAGAGAAGAGCTGGTACCAGACAAACTCCTGCTGAGACCCAAGCAAGCCGCTGCCACTCACTGTGACCCACTCCTGGCCCCTCCCACCTTAACAGCTCCACCAGCAAGGAACGGACTTTCTAACCCCAGGCCCCTGCACACACCATTCCCTTGGTTTGTGGGTGAAGAAATTGAGATCAGAAATGGGAAACCAGTACTGGGATTCAAACCCCGGGGTCCGAGTGCTTCGTCAGAATTGCATTTAACCATCTCTCCCTACCATGAGAATTTAGAATACCCCGGCTTCCTTCAGAAACCCCAACTCCTGGGGGCGGGGCTTCAAGAGGAGAGGCGGGACACAGCCTGGCCCAGTACCCCCTTAAGGCTTCCGGGAGTACACATCAGTTGAGGGTTGCAGAAGCCTTACCCTAATGTAGAAGTCCCCCTGCGAATTTCCAGCACGGATCTGAAAGGCATTGTAGGCGCCAGGGTAGACGGAGGTCGCCTGGATCTGGAACACGTCGGCGGGCACGCTCCGCTCTGAGGTGATGGTCATGTAGCGGTGCACAATGGACGAAGGTTGCTCTCGACACAGAGGGTTGGAGGCTGGGCAGAGGCAGCGGCTAGAGACCCCGAGGTGGGGGACACAGATGAGGTCCTTGCCTGTCCCCACCACCACCAATTTCACCTACCCTACAAAGGGAAGGAATCCCAAAAGGATCCTCCCACTCCTGTGACTGGTTGTCGTGGAGGACTACAATTCCCATCAGCCCTCAAGGACACTCACTGGCCCAAATAGATGCCAGTCAGCCCCAAAGCCCCCTGGGAGACATAGTTTCTGTGGGAGCCAGGCGTCGAAATGACTCACTTGTCAGAGACCTGGATATAGGGCTCCACGCAGCGGTTGGTGTCCACACAGCGGTAGCCCCCATGGAAGTTGACACAGGTTTGGGCCTCGGAGCACTGGTGTGCACCCGACTCACACTCATCAATGTCTGTGCCAGGGGAGAGGGGCTGGAATCCAGGGCGTCAGGCTGCCAGCTCCTGACACCATCCTGCCCATCCCACCCGGGTAACTTATACCTTGGCAGAGGCGTGTAGCCAGCAGCTGGTAGCCCTGTGGGCAGTGGCAGGAGAACCGGCCTGGCTCGTTGACGCAGCGGTACTGGCAGAGGTAGCTGGAGTAGCTACACTCATCAATATCTGAGGAAGCATGGGGATGGGGACCCCAGGTCAAGGGCAGTCCTCGCCATTCAGTCCCACAGACATTTCCTAAGAGAGCCCAGCCCCATGTTAAGCTGAATGCAGAAAGAGGGGGATGAGACAAGTCCTGCAAGGCTTAGCAGGAAGATGGATGGTTCAGAGAAAGCTCTGCCCAGGCTGCCCCAGTTCACAGACCTCTCTCTGCCCAGTGCTAAATAAAAGCACTGGGAATCTAGAGGCTTGGGTGTGAATCCTACCAGCTGATTTGGAGGAACCTCACTTTCCCAATCAGTAAAATGGGTGGATTAGACTAGATGAGTTTTGTGGGCCAGGCCTGTGCTGTAACCTGCCGAAGTCCTGCAGCCCACAATCAGCCCGAGCACCCAGTGATCACCTCCAGCCAACTGTGAGCTGCACGGGCAGACCATATCCCTTCTCTTGTTCCCCTCATGCTGCCACGTAGCAATGAGACCTCATCCCGCAGCAAAGCATAACATAGGAAGTACATGCCAGTTCACGGGGTGAGAGAAGTCTGGGATGGAGCCCTGGTCCCATCTCTTCCTGGGTGTATGAACTTGGCCAGGTCATTAGCTTCTCTTAGCTGAATGGTCTTTGTGCTTATTTTTATGTAATCCTCCCAACAAATGTGGAGGGAGATATTAATGTCCTCATTTTGTAGAGGAAGGAAAAAACCATACCTCCTAGGATTCTTGAGAGGAAGGAGGCCGAGTACGTCAGGAAATACACCGAGAGGGGAGGGTCTCATTAAGTGGCAGTTCATTCACTTTCAAGCACCGCAGCTTGAGACTTGCTGGAGCCCCTCTATTACACTGTTTCATCTAACCCTCAAGACACCCCGTTTTATAGAAGAAGAAACGGGCTCAGAGAAGAGTGACTTGTCCTACTGCAAAATTCAAATGCAGGTGAGCCTGACACGCGGGAAGAGTGGCACCCACATCCTTTCTTCCCAGTAGGCTTCAGTAGGGACCTCGCTGCCTCTCCCTGTGCCTTCCCTGCCAGCCTGGGAGTGCTCCACAGCCCGCAGGGTGGAGTACCCAGGAGGCAGCTGGGTGCACAGTGACTCGACTCGGAGGCCTCAGATGGAGACTGTGTGGCAGGAGGCACAGCACAGGTAGGGCCTGGGGACCCACAGAGGAACACACAGCAGGGGTACAGCCCTCACCGCTGCAGGAGAAGCCGTCCCGGTGCAGCTCATAGCCCTGGTGGCAGCGACACAGGAAGGTCCCATAGGAGTTGAAGCAGCGCTGCTCACATGGGGCTCCCATGTCACACTCGTTCACATCTGGGGGTGCCAGGAGAAATAGAAGGTGTGAAAGCCAAGGAGCGACCCAGAGCCCACACTCTACCTGGGCTGGTCAGGAAGGGAGCACCCCCATCTCACACGTCCCTGCGAGGGACCCAGGAGCCCGGCCCAGCCCAGCCTCACCCACACAGGAGCGGTTGTTAGGCCCCAGCTGGAAGCCCGGCTCGCACTGGCAGCGGAAGGAGCCAGGCAGGTTCACACAGCGGTGCTGGCAGTAGCGGTAGCGGCACTCGTCTATGTCTGGGATAGAGGCAGAAAGAGGGCAAAGAGCAGGTGGGCCAAGCCAGCTGGGACTTAAGGCTTCACCACCCATGATCCTGCCTGTGTCCGGGGAGCTGAATTAGGCAGGGTCAGCCAGGACACCTCCCAGACACACCCCCATACAATCCTCTGTGTCTGATGATAGGAGGGTAGAGATGATGGGAGTGGGGGTGAAGCCTGGGTTGAATGGGGGTCAGGTGCTAGGGCAAGGGCCAGACCAGGGGCACAAAGCCGGGACTAGAGAAGCTGCTCCCTGGACTCACCCACACACTCGGGCCCGATCTTGCGGTAACCATCAGGGCAGGTGCACTGATAGGAGCCAGGCAAGTTATGGCAGTCCTGGCTGGGGCGACAGTCGTGCAGGGCCTGGGCACACTCATCCACATCTGTGAGAGACACCACTCAGCCCCCGCCTGGGATCCTGAACACCACCCAGTATGACAGATAGATCGCCACTTGGATTCAGTCCTCTCAACAGCACACATAAGAGTTCAGTACCCGGGAGCCAACAGGAAAGGCACCCCTAACCTCCAACACTGCATGTTGGGGGTTGCATAGGGATAAGGTCCTGTCCACACACCCCCAGCAAGACTGATTCCTTCGTCCTCCTTCCTCCAAGGCCTGAGGCTCCCAGGGGACAGACACTGGAAGGCAGAGTTCCTGCAGTGTCTCTGCAGGAACTGAGGGGAGAGGCCCGGGGCTGGCTGGAACAGTGGCACATGAGCTGGGGGCACCTGTGGCAGGTCCCAAACAACTTGAGTGTCTGGATGAGGGTGTGGACATCACTAGTGGCCCTTCTGAGCTGGGGAGGAACATGAGGTCTGAGTTTAAGAAGCTTGGTGAGAGGACTGGAAGCCAGCTGCCAGAGCAGGCCCCACTCACCCACACAGCTCTCCTGATCGTCGGGCTCATAGCCTGGTGGGCAGGGGTTGGGGTGTTGAGCGGGAGGCACTGGTGGTGGGGGTCCCTCGCCGTGTAGGTCATTGATGACGGCAGCGGAGCGGGGCAGGCACAAGTAGCCCCCGTAGTGGTTGATGCACTTCATTTCCCCCTTGCAGGCCTCAGGGATGGTCAGACACTCGTTGACATCTGCAGAGAGGGGCCTGCTGGGCACAGCCCGTCTCCTGGGCTGGCCCTGGAGGGAGTGGAGCCAGAAGCCCAGCTGGGCCTTCTCTGAGATGTTGAGATGCGTGGCCCCAGCATCTCAACCCGCTCTACTCAGCAAGCTGAGGCTGCCTGCCCAGGACCCTTCCCCAGGGTCGGCCAGGACTGGAGTGGGGTAGCAGTTCCCACTGTTGCCCTCATTTTTGGCCTGGTGGGTCTCTATTGCTCCCCACGGCCCTGGCCCTAGCTCAGGCCAAGAGGGGGACCTCCTTACCCATCCCTGGGGACATTGCCCTCCCAGGTTGTGATGAGACAATGAGCTGGGACAGGACAGTAGTTCAGAGATCCAGCTCCTCTGAGGGATTGGGGCAAGTTTTCCTGGGTTTCTGGAGAGGGCGAGGCCACCCCTAGCCGAACTGGCCTCCAGAGCACCAGAGCTGGCCTCGGTGCAGCAGAGCTGGGCACAGGACCGGCTCTTGGAGGTGGGCCTGTCCCTTGGAAAGCAGCTATCAATCCCTTTCCCCATTCCTGGGGGTGTTTGGTCCCCCAGGCACACACACCCCGGCAGTGCTGGCTGTCTGGGTCCCACTCATAGCCATCTGTGCATTCCTGGAAGGGAACCAGAAGTGGCCAGTGGTCACCCTCAGATCTCCTCCAACTGGACAGCCAAGACTAGGGCCTGAGCCTGGCCACCCTCCACCCGCTCCAACAACGGCCCCCAGCCGTCCACCAGCCACAAGAGGGAGACTCCCCCCCCCCCCGCCCCCCTGACAGTAGACACCCCGGGGTCCCGGTCTCTTCCTCTCTGCCCATCCCATCCCAGGCCAGCGGCCTCCACTGTCCCCACCGTGTAGCTGTCGGGCTCTTCCGAATCCTGAGGAGACGCTGGCCCGGAGAGCAGCAGCAGCAGCGCCCAGAGCAGTAGAGACCCCGGGAGGCAGGACGCGCAGGGGAGCATCCTGGGGCTGCGAGGTGGTGGACAGGGGTCAGGGGCCTCTGCCGCGGCACCCCCACTCCCTGTACCGGGAGCCCGAGCCCAGCGCCCGCCGTGGCCCGCTCAGGACCGTGCTTGGGCCCCGGGGCCTCCAAGGGCTAGGGGCCGACTCCTCTCGCAGCCCCAGGTCCCAGGCCCGGCTCCCGGGCCCACTCACCCCAGCCACCCCGCCCCCGCCCCGTGTCCCTGCGGAGAAGGCCGAGGAACGCTGGCCTCTTGACGCTACGCTGCCGCGGACTCGGTCGAAACTCCGGCCCGCGCCCTCCCCCACAGACGGCCACCGCCACTCACTTGGGCCCGCGACGCCCCCGCGGCCCAAGGCTCTGGCTGCTCAGTTGGCTCCGGCAATGCCTGCGGGCAGACGGACGGGCGGACGGCACAGCTCCCTGGACGCGCGGCCCCAGGAAGCGCCCCCCGCCCGCCCGCCTGCCGCGGCGCGGCCCACCCCGGCGCCTCCGCCCGCCCTTCGGCGGATTCCTGAGCCCGCGCCAGGGGGAGGGACCCCGACCCCCAGCTTCTCCGCCCCCGGCCAGCCACAGGCCCCCACCCGGTCCCCCGCGGCGCCACCCGGAGCCTCCTCCCGGCGCCAGTCCACGGTCCCCCAGCGCTCGACCTTGATGTCAGGACCCCAGACTCACCCTGGGTGCCCCAGACTCTCACCAAAAATGTCATCCTGCGCACCTAGATTCTACCTAATCTGCACCCCCAGAATTCCATCCTGTGCACCCACACCGTAATCTCGGAGTCCTCAGATTCACATTCTGCGCCTCCTGAGATCGCCCTTAGTACCTAGAGCCCCCCTCACCAGTCCTCCAGACAGACCCTCATTCTACTCCCTGCAGAATTTTATTCTCTGCCCCAGACCGTCATTCTAAAAGATCTTAAAACTTCATCCAGCGTCCCCAGACCCTTGCCCAGGAACGAGAGGCTCCCAGGAGCAGAACTGTCCTTCTCGCTCCCTCCCGCCGGGGACCGTCTTCACTCCGGTGGTCCGCTCACTGCGCACTGCCTTCCCCACACCCTCCACCCACAAAGCTACAAGTTTTGGGGTGGGGGCGCCAGTTCCCTTTTGGCACAAAATGAATGGAAGCCCCTGAGACGGAGGGCAGGGCTGATGTCGGACGTGCAGGATGCCAGGGTCGGGTGCCCACGCACCTCCCCGACCTCCTCCCACCCACATCCCCCGCCCGGTTTCCGCCTCGGCCCCAAGTGGGGGCGTGTTCATGGGGGCGGAGTCTGGGCGGGGCTGGCTCCCAGGAAGGGGCGTGGTCACCTTTTGCCCACGTCTCTGGGCGGGGCCAGGCTGGAAGGCACTGCGTGTCCGGGGGATCCCCCGCCTGAGGACTCGCCCCTCCTTTCCCCTTCCCATCCACGCTGATTCCCGCGGTTGTCCTCAACGTGATCCCGGGAAGGGAGCATGCCCAGGAGGGGACGTGCTGGTGGGTGCCGAGGTGAGCGCCTGGGGTTCAGGTGAACTGCGCAGTGCCCCCTCCTCGCCACTCTGCCACCATCATCCTTCCCAGCCGCTGGGCCCAGGAGGTTAAATAATAGCTCTTTAAGGGGCCGGGCGCAGTGGCTCACGCCTGTAATCCCAGCACTTTGGGAGGCCGAGACAGGTGGATCACTTGAGGTCAGGAGTTCGAGATCAGTCTGAACAACATGGTGAAACCCAGTCTCTACTAAAAATACAAAAATTAGCCAGGGGTCGTGGCGCCTATAGTCGCAACTACTCAGGAGTCTGGAGAATCGCTTGAACCCGGGAGATGGAGGTTGCAGTGAGCCCAGATCACACCTCTGCACTCCAGCCTGGGTGACAGAGTGAGACTCCAGTTTAAAAAATAATAAGGCCGGGCAAAGTGGCTCACGCCTGTAATCCCAGCACTTTGAGAGGCTGAGGCAGGCGGATCACCTGAGGTCGGGAGTTCAAGAGCAGCCTGACCAATATAGTGAAACCCTGTCTCTTAAAAAAAAAAAAAGATATGTACACGCACACAAATCTGTACATGTTTATAGCAGCGCTGTATATAAGAGCCAAATGCAGAAACAATCCAGAGTCTGTCACCTGATGAGTAACAAGATGCAGTGCACCCATAGAGTGGAGCATTATGCAGCCATGAAAAGGAATGAAGTACGGATGCATGCCGCAATGTAGGTGAATTCCTGAAAATATCATGTGAAGTGAAAGAAGCCAGACACAAAAAGCCACATAGTCCATTTATATGAAATAACCAGAATAAGCAAACCCAGAAAGACAGAAAGTAGATTAATGGTTGCCAGAGGAAGGTGGGAAATGGGGAGTGACTGCTAATGGGTCTGAGATTTCTTTTGAAATAATGAAAATGTTCTAAAATTAGATAGCAGTGGTGGTCACACAACTATGCAAATACACTAAAACTCACTGAATTGTACACTTCCAAAAGGTGAATTTTATAGTATGTAAATAATACCACAAGAGTCTGGGCACTGTGGCTCACGCCTATAATCCCAGCACTTTAGGAGGCCAAGGTGGGTGGATCACCTGAGGTCAGGTATTTGAGACCAGCCTGCCCAACATGGCGAAACCCTGTATCTACTAAAAACACAAAAATTAGCTGGGTGTGGTGCTGAATGCCTGTAGTCTCAGCTACTCAGGAGTCTGAGGCAGGAGAATCAGTTGAACCTGAGAGGTGGAGGTTGCAGTAAGCAGAGATTGTGGCACTACACTCCAGCCTGGGCGACAGAGTAAGACCCTGTCTCAAAAAAAAAAAAAAAAAAGCAGGAAAGGAGTGCTGCTGCCACCCCATTTCACAGGTAGGGAAGCTGAGAGACTTGTCCCAGGTGCAGCCAGAGTAGTAAGGATGGACCTGCACTCAAGTCTCACAGGCTTCATGACCCCCTGGGCTCTTTGCCCCATATTAGAGCGTTAAGGACCCACCCTGCGAACACCTACTCTGTGCTAGCCACAGTGGTGCATGCTCCACTCGATATTATTCCACTCAACCCTGAGCCTGAGAATTATCATTGCCAATTAGAGATGAAGAGCTGAGGACTGGGGCGGGGGGGGGGGGGGGGGTGACGTAATGCACAGCTGCCACACAACCTGGACCTGAAACTCCATCTTTGCACCATCCGACCCAAGTCAGCCTCCCATTTGGAGCTGCCTCCTCAGGATTCCTCCCCCAGCCTCTGCCACCCCGGTGACATTCCCTGCCTTCGCCTGCTCTGCATTGGGTCCCTTTCAAGGTCCCAGATACCACTGGATTAGTGTCTCTCTCCTACCAAGTAGTGAGCTCCTCTCAGGCAGTGAGGCCCCTGTACCCATGGCCCAGCCTTTACTGAGTGCCAGCCGGGATCTGCAGGGTAGGCAGGTGAATGAACAAATGAGTGAGCAGGTGGACGAAGTTCACTGATTCACTCAACAAATGTTGACTGAGTGGCCACTGTGAACCAGATGCTGTGCTAGGCACCAGGGACACAGCACTGACCAAAACCAGACACAAACCTCCTGGCTTCGGGGAGCTCTCAAGTAAGGGAAGGGAGGAAAGGATCAAAGAGGAAGGCCACTGAGTCCCACACCTACAGTCCCTTCTCCCCTTGGCCTCCCACCATCCTCTTCCACCACAAGAGGCCCACACTGGGACCTCCATCTCTGAGGGCTGACAAGGAACCTTAACCATCAGCCACACACAGGACAAGACTGTCTGGGGCCCATACATGGGCTCTGGAACCACAGGGCCAGGAACCACTCTGTGGATGTCTGTCCACGGCCTTTCAATAAAGGCAGCACCACGTTTTTCAAATAGAGAGGCCCTTTGGCTTATTCTGTGGGCAGGGTGACAAAGTGGAGCCTCACGACTCTAGGAGGAATCCTAATAAATAAACAAGGTAGTGAGCACATGGGTGAATAAATCCCAGGATCAGAGTTGTCCTCTGTCTCCCACCCCATGGAACCCTAGAAAGCCGGCTTCTCACACCCTTCTCTTGGTCACCAGTTCTCAGCTTGGAGGCCTATAGGGGAGGTCCCCAGCCCAAGGACCCATTTAGAACAAAGGCAGCAGGAATGAGTGTTAATGCTGCTGCCCAGCCCTTGACCTCACATGTCAGGTTTTGACCTCCCTTTGTCTGTGATGCTCACCCTGTTATCTTTTTGGCTCCTCAGCCCCCTCATCCGCATCCCTAGACTATGTGAGGGATGAGGAACGGGAGGCACTAGCTGCCACTTGCTGCTCCTGAACTCTGCAATTTCCTAGGCTTTTGTTTTGTTTTGTTTTTGTTTTTGTTTTTAAGATGGAGTTTTGCTCTTATCGTCCAGGCTGAAGTGCAGTGGGGCGATCTTGGCTCACTGCAACCTCAGCCTCCTGGGTTCAAGTGATTCTCCTGCCTCAGCCTTCTGAGTAACTGGGATTACAGGGAACTGCCACCATGCCCAGCTGATTTTTTTTTTTTTTTGTATTTTTAATAGAGATGGGGGTTTCACCATGTTGGCCAGGCTGGTCTTGAACTCCTGACCTCTGGTGATCCACCTGCCTCGGCCTCCCAAAGTGCTGGGATTACAGTGAGCCACTGTGACTGGTCTGGTTTTGTTTTTTTGACGCAGGGTCTTGGACCCAGGCTGGAGTGCAGTGGCATGATCATAGCTCACTGCAGCCTTAATCTTCCAGGCTCAAGCAATTCTGCTGACCTCAGCCTCCCTAGGAGCTGGGACTACAGGAGCGCACCTCCAGGCTTGGCTAATTTTTTTTATTTTTAGTAGAGTCGGGGCCTTGCTCTGTTGCCCAGTTTGATCTCCAACTCCCGTGCTCAAATGATTCTCCTACCTCAGCCTCCCAAAGTGATGGGATTACAGGCGTGAGCCACTGTGCCCGGCCTGCTTTCCTGTTCAGAACTCACGATGATCAATTGTTCAGTCAACAAACACGTAGTGAGCCTGCCTCATGCCTAGCCCTGTACTGGGCACTGAGGACACAAGTGAACCAGACACTTCTGGTGTGGCTGGAGGTAGATGCCCAATGGGCACAGGTGCAGCTGGGCTCAAGGGGCTATAAAGCTTCTACCAGAGGGAGGGGAAGCAGGGAAGGCTTCTTGAAAGAGATAGACCTGGGCCGGGCGTGGTGGCTCACGCCTGTAATCCAAGCACTTTGGAGGCCAAGGCGGGCGGATCACCTGAGGGCGGGAGTTCAAGACCTGCCTGACCAACATGGTGAAACCCTGTTTTAAAAAGAAAGAAAGAAAGAAAGAAAGAAAGAGACAGCCCTTGACCTCACTGAGCTTTTTAGGATGAGTAACAGTGGTTCCCTTGGTCAGGCGCATGGCTCACACCTGTTATCCCAGCACTTTGGGAGGGCAAGGCGGGTGGATCACCTGAGGTCAGGAGTTCAAGACCAGCCTGACCAACATGGTGAAACCCCGTCTCTACTGTAAATACCAAAGTTAGCTGGGCATGGTGGTGCACCCCTGTAGTCCCAGCTACTCAGGAGGCTGAGGCAGAATTGCTTGAAACGAGGAGGCAGAGGTTTCAGTGAGCCGAGATCATACTGTTGCACTCCAGCCTGAACAAAAGCAAAACTTCACCTCAAAAAAAAAAAAAGAGTGGTTCTGTAGTGGTTCCCTCCATCCCCGCCCCATCATCAGGGGCCTGTGGCTCCTGTTGCCCCCTGGGATCCCCACTGATGTCTATATATTGTCACTGCCCATTTAGCATATCTATCTCACCGTCATCTCCTTAAGGACAGATCCATCTCTGTAGCCGTAGAATTGCCCAGACCAGGGTGGGCCTAGAGCCTGTGCTGAATAAGGAAAAAGGAATGGACTGGGTGTGGTGGCTCACACCTGTCATCCCAGCATTTTGGGAGGCTGAGGTGGGTGGATCACGAGATCTGGAGATTGAGACCAGTCTGGCCAACATGGTGAAAACCTGTCTCTACTAAAAATACAAAAATTAGCCAGGTGTGGTGGCATTAGCTACTCAGACAGGAGGCTGAGGCAGGAGAATCACTTGAACCCCAGAGGTGGAGGTTATAGTGAGCCAAGATTGTGCCACTGCACTCTAGCCTGGCCGACAGACAGAGGAAGACACTATCTTAAAAAAAAAAAAAAAAAAAAAAGAATAAGAAAAAAAGAAAAGGAGTGGGGTGGGGAGCAGAGAGGCAGAGGACTGAAAGCCTGAAGGCCTAAGCAACTCATGCGCTCTAGGGGTCTGCCCACCCCCCGACTGGCTTCCCTCTTGTGGTTTCTCAAGCCCCACCCTCACACCCTCTACCTTCATCTGCACGGCTTCCGCCCTCCACACCACTTCAGACTGCACTGCCATGGCTCTGACTGCCCATCCCTCCTGCCTCCTGGCCCTGCTGGTGGCAGGCCTAGCCCAAGGCATCAGAGGCTCCCTTACGGCCCAGGTAAGTGCTCCCAAACCCTTACCTCTGCCAGTCCCACACCTGATGTCACCCCTTCAGAAACAGCTGGCCTGTCATTCCCATTTTTCAGAGGGAGTCACTGAGGCTGGAGAGGGGGCTGACGTGCCCAAGGGCACATGGGAAGAGACAGAAAGCTAATTGGCTGCCCCCACTGCAGTCCTTGCACAGGTGGGAGCTAAGGTGGGGTCCCCGAAATGATTCCTCTGCCCACGGCCCCTCTCCACTGGCTCCTTGCCAGGACCTAGGTCCCCAGCCACTGGAGCTGAAAGAGGCCTTCAAGTTTTTCCAGATCCAGTTCAACCGGAGCTACTTGACCCCAGAAGGTATCACAGGCCACGTACATCTCCAACCCCCACCTCCCAGGTTCAAGTGGGTGTCCTGCTTCAGCCTCGGGGTAGCCCCGCCACTTTTTCATTTTTAGTGGAGACAGGGTTTCACCACGTTGGCCAGGCTGCTCTCGAACTCCTAAGCTCAGGTGATCCGCCTGCCTCAGCCTCCTAAAATGCTGGGATTACAGGCGTCAGCAACCGTGCCCAGCCATCTCACTTTTTAATAGATGAAGAAATTGAAGCTCAAGGTGAACAGGCATGGCCAAGACCACTCAGCAGGACAGGGCAGTGCGGGGGGTGTACTCCCTGCTTTCCCAAAGGCATGAGTGGGTCCAGGATCATTCTTTGCTATGGACCTGGAGGGTGGTGGCAGGTGGTGGGGTCCTTCCCTAGTCCTGTGTGGTCCCCTGGCTCCACAGTCACTTCCCTATGATTCTAGGCAGTAAGCAGGGGACCAGCCCCTAGTCATGCGTTCATTCAGCAAACACCCAAGGACACCCATTTTGTCCCCGAGTTGGGGACTTCTTCTCTATCCATGATATAACCCCTGCCTCTGCCCTCTCGCTGTGCTGATCTCTCATGGGGGCTGGTCTGTGTGTGACTTTTAGCCCACACTGCCTGTGCCGTCATCTCCTACCCCCACCATGTTCCAGCTCTCCTCCTGTGGTCGGAGGTGTAAAGGAGGTAGCCTGGCAGGAAGCTGGTCTCCAACCACACCCCCTTTCCTTGAGTCACCACCACCAGACCCCTTGCCTGGCTGCCCACCTAGGGTGACCAGAGATGGTCCTCTCGCTGCCTCTGGGGAAAACCTAACCCTAGGTGGGCTGGGTAACCACTTCCTTGGCCTGGATGTCTGCAGTGGGGCCTTGTGGGGCTACAGGAAAGGAGCCAGTGCTCAACTGGGTGGGTGTGGGTGGAAGGGTGCCCAGCCAGCGGCTACTTCCTGCCCCTGAGGGCCTGGGAGCCAGCCTAGGACAACTCCCTCTTGGTCCAGAGCACGCTCGCCGCCTGGACATCTTTGCTCACAACCTGGTGCAGGCTCAGCGGCTGCAGGAGGAGGACTTGGGCACAGCTGAGTTTGGGGTGACTCCATTCAGTGACCTCACAGGTACCATCAACCCTTCTGGCTCATAGGTGGTGGGTGGGGAAAGGACACTGGCAGCTGGACCGAGCGGACCTTCAACTTTCACTTCCCAGGGAAGGAAATTCATTTCCCTGACTACTGGGGGCTTGGGTGTTGGCATCAAATCACCCAGAGCAGGGGCAGAATCTCTGCAGCCCTGTGTCCCAGCCCAGCCCAGCCCTGGGGCCAGTGTAGCAGCTGCAGGGAAGCACCCAGCAGGGAGCCCAGCCCCTCTAGGCTCAGCACCCCTGCCTTTTTTACCATTTTTTTTGAAGACAGGCTTTCTCTGTCTGTCGCCCAGGCTGGAGTGCAACAGTGTAATCTCAGCTCAGTCTCCACCTCCTAGACTCACACGATTCTCCCCACCTCTTAGCCTTCTACGTAGCTGGGACCACAAGCCTGCATAACCACAGCCAGCTAATATTTCTATTTTTTGTGGAGATGGGGTCTTGGACTCCTGACCTCAAGTGATCTGCCCACGTCGGCCTCCCAAAGTGCCGGAATTACAGGCGTGAGCCACCACAGCTGGCCCATCCTTGCCTTTTTGCCCCTCAGGGCATTATGGGACAAAAATGGCCAAGGGCTGGAGTGGGAGTGGGAGAACAGGGAGAAGCGGTCAAAACAGAGACCTCAGTGGCCCTGTCTGTTCCCCAGAGGAGGAGTTTGGCCAGCTCTATGGGCATCAGAGGGCAGCTGGAGGGGTACCCAGCATGAGCAGAGTGGTAGGGTCTGAAGAGCCAGAGGAGTCAGTGCCTCACACCTGTGACTGGCGGAAGGTAGCCGGAGCCATCTCATTCATCAGGAACCAGGTATCTGCCCCTGTTCTCACCCAGCTCGCTCCAATTCGGCTTAGTGGTGGGAAGAAGAGGGACGTGGCCTGAACACCTAGCCCTGCCCAATCCTTTCACCCTCCAGGGAAACTGCCTATGCTGCTGGGCCATGGCAGCGGCAGGCAACATCGAGGCACTGTGGAGCATCAATTTCTTGAAGTTCGTGAACGTCTCTGTACAGGGTAGGGCTGGGAGAGGGCTCGTGTGTGATAGAGGAGGGAGGTCTAGGGGCTTGGTCACCCACATTGTCCCTTCTTACACCAGAGCTGCTGGACTGTGGCCGCTGTGGGGATGGCTGCCATGGAGGCTACGTCTGGGACGCATTCTCAACTGTCCTCAAGAACAGTGAGTGCACCACCCCCACCACTCTGGACATCTGCCTCGGGACGGGGTGGGCAGGATCGGAGCCCCCTCCTTGTCTTGCTTGTCTGCAGGCGGTGTGGCCAGTGAAAGTGACTACCCGTTCCAGGCCAACTTCAGACCCCACAGGTGCCACGCCAAGACGTACAACAAAGTGGCTTGGATCATGGACTTCATCTTTCTGCCGGACGACGAACAGAGTGCGGGAAGGGTGGAGACACAGGCGGATGGGAGGGACAGACGCCAGGGCAGAGGCAGACATGCTGGGCTACCAGGCTACAGATGGAGACAAGACAGGGTGGATGGAGCGAAGGAGCGAGAGAGAGACCCACGTGCCCACGTGGCAAGGGTCTGATCATGCTCCCATCCCCAGGAATTGCCCAGTACCTGGCCACTTACGGCCCCATCACAGTGACCATCAACGCAAAGCACCTGCAGGTAGGACGGGGAAGCTGATGGGGAAGGGGCATACAGGGCACTTGGCCCCACACTCAGTACCTTGGCCCCCACCCCCTGCAGCTATACCAGAAAGGTGTGATCAAGGCCAGGCCCACCACCTGTGACCCCCAGTTTGTGGACCACAGTGTCCTGCTGGTGGGTTTTGGCAGCGAAAAGTCAGAGGGGATGGGGGCAAAGACAGTCTCATCCCAGTCTCGGCATCCACGCTCCACCCCATACTGGATCCTGAAGAACTCCTGGGGGGCCCAATGGGGAGAGGAGGTGAGTGTGATCTATTGGTGGAGGGGGGGCGCAGAACAGGCCTCTTCCCACCTGCCCGCCCCCCTGTCCCCTAATCTCCTAGGGCTATTTCCGGCTGCACCGAGGGAGCAATACCTGTGGAATCACCAAGTACCCAGTCACTGCCCGCGTGCAAAAACCAAATGTGAAGCCCCAATTCTCTTGCCCTCCCTGAACCCACCTGGCCCCTCAGCTCTGTCTTGTTAGGCCAACTGCCTCCTTGCCAGCCCCATCCCCAGGTTTTTGCCCATCCTCGCAATCTTCTCAATATGGCCTAAATAAACCAAGACAAGATCTCTGGCTTGTGAGTAGATTCTTCTAGTGGATGGGTCGAGCACAGACTCCATTCCCTGATAAATGTCCCAGTTCCCAAGAGGCCGCTGTGCATGTCCATCCTTGTACATAGACACCAGGTGCTCAGACACAGACACAGGCACATCTGCATGCCCCCCACCTGCTCCCCAGAGCAAAGACCAGTCTCCAAACTCACAGTGGCAACTTTATTGTCAGTGTGAGTGGGGTGGTGGGAGGGGTCTCAGTCATGATAGAGGCGCAGGAGGCAGCCATGGAGGGTGCCCATGTAGCGGTCCCAGAGGGTCTGGTGTCTGTAAGAACAGGAACAGTGAGAGCTGAGTTTTCCCAACATTCACCATGGCGGGAGGCCCTGCCCTGAACACTTTCTACACCTTCGTTCAATTTGCCCTCAGAAAATGCTTCAGTCCTTCTCATGATCAACCCCAGTTCAGTGAGGAAGCTGAGGCATGGAGAGGTTAAGAAACCTGCCCCAAATCACACAGCTTTTTTTTTTTTTTTGAGATGGCATCTTGCTCTCTTGCCCAGGCTGGAGTGCAATGGTGTTATCTCAGCTCACTGCAACCTCCACCTCCTGGGTTTAAGCAATTCTCCCGCCTCAGCCTCCTGAGTAGTTGGAATTACAGGTGCCAGATGGGGTTTCACCATGTTGGTCAGGCTGGTCTCAAACTCCTGACCTCATGATCTGCCTGTCTCGGCCTCCCAAAGTGCTGGGATTACAGGCATGAGCCATTGAGCTCAGCAATCACACAGCTTCTAAGATGGGGAGCCAGAGCTTTGGTCCAGAGACTTCCCCCCACCCCTGGGGCAGCAGAATGGGGAACCCTGAGTCTGTGGGATACAAGTCCCTGCAGGTGGCTGGCTGGGGCAAGGCCAAGCTGGACAGGAGGCCAGGGTTGCTCACCGGAAGCCATCGAGGGAGTGGACAGACGCTGAATACTGATTTAGGAAGAACCGCACGTCGCTGAGTGGCCAGTGGTCGGAGCGGCAGGGTTCCACAAACTGTGGGCCCAATGGAATACTTAGCACTGGTACAGGCCGGGGACAGGCCAGGTTGGGGGTCAGAGGGCATGACAGCTCACCTTTTCCACAAGGTCCACAAACAAGTCTCTGACATCCTTATTGTGGGTCAGCTTGGCGGCCACATTCACCAGCCCCCGGGATAGGTTCTGTGGGGCAGGGATCCTGGGAGTTCTGCCTTCTGCCCCAGAAGTTGGGAGCTGAGCACAGAAGCTGGGGGAGGGGCAGGTCCCTCCCCAGATCCATCCACCTCCCTCCATCAACCAAGTCCCCATTGTTTGTGAGCTGCTCCTCTCAGCGGCCACCAGAGGGAGCAGTACCGCCACCTGCTGGCCAGTCCCCTGCAGGGGCAGAGCTGCCTGGTAGGGGTGGTGATCTGGAGGCTGAAGATGCCAAGGGATAGAGGCTAGATGGGACAACAGACCTTGAAGTTGGCTTCCATCTCAGAGAAGACGCCCAGCTTTCCCCGGAGAGCAGTGCACACTAGGCTGCAGAGAGACAGGGTCATGCCTACAGCCACTTGGGCCCCTATTGCAGGCCCTGCCCCAAGGACCCCCTACAAGGTCACCTCTTGTGCAGGTCCAGAAGGTCCTTGTCAGCCACTAGGACCTTGAGCTCCTTCAAGTCCTGGAGAAATTCCTTGTCTAAGTCCATGTCCATGTCATCCATCTGTGAGTCTGTGAGGCCAGGAAGGGAGTTGGGGTAGGTGATAAAAACCTCTCCCTCAATAACCTCAGCCTTTCCTCACCAACCACCCCAGGGGGCAGAAGAGGACATGGAGTGGCAGAGAGGGGGGAGTGACATGCCCCGGCCACAGAGAGGCAATGGGACCTTTGTCTGCAGACAAGGCATGTGTGGGGAAAACATCCCATGAGCCGGGGGAGCCTGGGTGGGGGCCGTGAACACCAGCGGATGTCGGGAACTGGGGGCTGCGAGAGAAACTATTGGTGGGGAACCAGGTCCTGAGGACGGGGAGGCGTCCAGGCACCTGGGACAGTGGGGGCCTCACCGACGGCTCCAAGGGTCCAGTTTTGGATCATGAGCTCAGCACAGAAGGCAAAGTCACCAAAGCTCAGATACTGCAGTTTTTTCTTCCCTGTCTCAAAGCGGTTGTTAGCAAAGAAGACGATGGCTGCATAGTCCCTGCACAGAAGAGAGACAGTCCTCTCAGGGCTTGAAATTCCTTCTTTTTTTTGAGACGGAGTTTCGCTCTTGTTACCAAGGCTGGAGTGCAATGGCGCGATCCTGGCTCACCGCAACCTGTGCCTTCTGGGTTCAAGCAATTCTCCTGCCTCAGCCTCCCGAGTAGCTGGGACTACAGGCGCGCGCCACCATGCCCAGCTAATTTTTGTATTTTTAGTAGAGACGGGGTTTCTATGTTGGTCAATGAGACCATGTTGACCAGGATGGTCTTGATCTCTTGACCTCGTGATCCACCCGCCTCGGCCTCCCAAAGTGCTGGGATTATAGGTGTGAGCCACTGCACCTGGCCCGAAATTCCTTCTTAGGAAGCAGCTCCCACCTGCAACCTCGGCTGGGTGTCGGAGTTCTGGCCTCTCTCTGCCTTAAGTCACTATATGATGTGTCTCAAGTCACCTCTCTATGCCCCTCCTCATCTATGCAAAGAGACATTTCCAGCCCAAGTTTTCTAATGGCAATGTGAGACCATAAGGGTAACAGTTACCATTTACTGAGCACTCTCTAAGTGTGGCACCTCTCAACAGCCTAATTGGAAATTGCCGGACTATGCTTTGAATCCAGGTCAGTCTGGTACAAAGATCAGACCAAGCTGGGTGCGGTGGCTCATGCCTGTAATCCCAGCACTTTGGGAGGCTAAGGCAGGTAGCTCACTTGCTCAGGAGTTCAAGAGCAGCCTGGCCAACATGGTGAAACCCTGTCTCTACTAAAAATACAAAAATTAGCCAGGTGTGGTGGCACATGCCTGTAATCCCAGCTACTTGGGAGGCTGGGGCAGGAGAACTGCTTGAACTGGGAGGCCGAGGTTGCAGTGAGCTAAGCTTGCACCATTGCACTCCAGTTTTACAAGACTAAAACTCTGTCTCAAAAAAAGTAGAGGCCAAAAGTGGGATAATTATCCCGCCAGCATATTGAGGAGGTCAAAAGTGTTGGGGCAGGGAAACTGGACCAGCCTCAGGGCCCAGGGAAGTGGGTGTGCAGGATGGGGAGGTGGCAGCTCCTCACCTGGCCAACCGGTCAGAGAGGAGGAAGTGCTGCTGAATATTGTCCACCAGGGAGCCCCGCATTTCCTCTACCACCTTGAAGACTCGCTTAAAGTTGTCAAACTGCAGGGCAGTTAGGGTAGGAGAGAGGACGGGTCAGAGTGCCCACCGTGTCGCTCACCCAATAAACCGCTTTTTGAACATCCCTCCCCTACCCACCCACGTATCCGGTCAGCAGAGACTGATTTAGCATTTGTCATTCCTTCAACCAACTATTAGTTATTAGTACTTGTTATCAACTCAAATGCTTATCAGCTCCTGCCGTATCTTGCCCTGGATAAATGTTTACTCAATCTTGTCTCTAAATCCAACCCCACTTTAGCACCATGCTCTCTAGATCTTTAGGAGTTTGAATTGGAAGAGACGTTCCTGGCTGAGCCCTAGGAACTAAAAAATAAGCAAATGCTAAGCTATACACAGGAAGCTCATAGGAGATACAAAAGAAAGGCATCAAAGGCCCAGAAGGGTTACTTCTTCCTGGTATACCAAAAAGGCTGTGGAGAAGGTGGCATCTCACCTCCCATCTTGGATTTCAAGGGGTAGATACTGCCAAGAACAGTACCCTACAGGTAGAAGCAACATGAGTAAAGGAAAGCCTGGGGCTGGAGAAATGTAAACTTGGAAAGGTCTGCAGGGATAAGATCACAGGACAGTCCATAGGTTAAGGCCAAGGAGTGCAGCTGCCACCCAGGAGGCAGTGGAAGCCAAGGAAGTTTATAAGCAGGGGTCTGATAAACTCTCAGGTCAGATCTGGGCTTCTGAAAGATCACTCTGGCCATAGAGTACAGGATAGCTTAGAAGGGGCAAAAGGGAGCTGGGCACAGTGGCTCAAACCTGTAATCCCAGCAGCACTTTGAGAGGCCAAGGCGGTTAATCACTTGAGGCCAGGAGTTCAGGACAAGCCTGGCCAACATGGTGAAACTCTGTGTCTACTAGTAATACAAAAAGCAGCCAGGTGTGGTGGCAGGAGCCTGTAATCTTAGTGACTGCAAAGGCTGAGGCATGAGAATCGCTTGAACTGGGGGCGGGGGAGGAGACTGGAGGTTGCAGTGAGCCGAGATCGTGCCACTGCACTCCAGCCTGGGCGACAGAGCAAGGCTCTGTCTCAAAACAAAAAGAAAGGGGAAAAGGGGAAAGGAGGAGAGGACTAGGTATGAAGCTGCTGCCCCAATCAGAGGCTGGAGCTGCAGCAGTGGCCAAAGGGAGGGAGTGAAGTGCAGATGGGATGCCCGGCCCCTGTGGGTGTAGTGCTCACCTGTCTCCGGCAGCTCTTGAGGGTGATGCCTGTTTTGGTGCTGATATCATCCAGGTCTTTCTTGGTGCCTTTGGACAGCTTCTTGCCCAGCACCTCCCGAACGAAGGCCTCGTCAAAGGCATAGTACCTTGTGGAGTCAGAGAACACCACTAACCCTCCATAAAAAAGAGGAAAGGGGGCCTGGCAGGGCCTGGGTCTGACCCCTTCTGCTCTCAATTTTCTGATGGCTGGTTAAGTACCGTTCCTCCCTGGGCCTGTTTCAGCATGCAAAATGGGTATACAGTCAGACTGGTTAACGTCACCCCCATCCCACAGGGTGAGCACCTCTCGATGAGTAGCGCCTGCCGGGAGGGCGGGATCTGGAAGATGAGCTGGTGCAGTAGCTTGGGCGGTGCGTGCAGCAGCCGCTCCAGCATGTGGAAGGTGCGGTAGTGGTCCATAGTGTCGCTCTGCAGCACCGCTGCCGTGGCGCCCGTCTGCTCCAGGATTCCCGAGCGCACCCGCAGGGCCACCGCGTCGGTCACTGGAAAGTGGGGGCTTGCATCAGGCCCCGCCCAGCCGACGCCAGAGGCTCTTCGGGGATTCCGTCCCCGATCATTATAAAACCCTTTATTCCCAGGCGGCTGCCCAGTTCCCTAAAGGATGCCCAAGTCCAAGCCCCGCCCCGTCTCCAATTCAAAACAACCGCTCCGCGGACTGGCTCCCCCACATGCTCCTCACGAACCCGAGTAACCATCTAGCCAGAGGCGATACACGTCCTCGTCGATAAGGGTCGTGTTCCCCACAAAGATGTCTAGCTCGCTAGTCATGGCGACGCCCGGGGCCCTAGCGCCCCGAGCAGGACACTGCTGGGGCCTGGCGTGCCGCCTCCAGGCCACTTCCGGGAGCGCTGAGATTCCGCTCCGGGCACCCGGACCCAGCATAGGATTACTTCCGGGACACAGCCAGTGAGAGCGGGGATGCGGAGGGAGCGGTGAGGGAAGAGAGGGGCAGGTCTGCGCGGAGGAGCAGCGCCTCCTCCCGCCGGGAGGGGGAGTCCTCGGCTCCTGCGGGTTGTCGCCCCCAAGCCGTCTGCCGGAGCGCGAAGGGAGTGCCTCCCCTTCGTCTCCACGGTCCCCCAACCTCTCCCCTCACTTCCTCCTGGCTTTTCTCCCACCTCCTCTGCCCTTTTTGGGACCTCCTAAGTTTGACCTGTATCCTAAAGTTAGGGGTTTCACAAGGCTCTATGCTAAATCTCTTCTCCGCAAAAGGTGTATGGCCCGACTTCCTCGGGCTCTTGCTGGAGACCCCTCTGTCCATCCTGTGCATGAGCACCTCTCCTGGGCTTGGGGCACCTGCTCCCACCTTGGTTTTAACCACACCCGCACCCCCAGGACCTACTGACGTCTTTAATTCTGCCCCTCGGAGCTCTTCCTGGAAGTCCACATCCGGAGGGGCCGCCCATCAGCCAGGTCTGTCCACAGTCTCTTCCCGTAAGCCCCTCAAAAAAAAAAAAAAAAAAAAAAAACATATTCTAGCCAGACCTCTCTCGCTCTCCCCATCTGTTTCTTTCCGGCGTCCCTATCTCCGTGACAGCCTAACATCCACCAGTTTTCATACGAGAAACCTGGGCGTTCTCCCAGACTCCTCTCTCTCCACATTCAGTTCGGCTGATTTGCCTCCGGAATATTTCTGGTATCTGTTTGTCCTCTCCACCGCCACTGACGCTGCCCCAGCCGTCTTTCTGCTTAGCTCTAATCTCCCTTTCTGTGTCCCCTCCCCGCAGGATCCGGCCCACACAAAGCAGCCCAATCTTTTTTAGATGCATATTTTCAAATGTTACTCCCTTAACATCCTTACTGGCCTTTGGAAACGCTCCAACCTAGTACTGAAAGTTCTTAAGAATCTGGCTTTTGCGTACCCTTGAAGCCTCACTCTCTCAGCATTTTCTTTCTTTTTTTTTTTTTTTTAAGATGGGGTTTCACCATGATGGCCAGGCTGGTCTTAAACTCCTGACCTCAGGTGATCCACCCACCTCGGCCTCCCAAAGTGCTAGGATTACAGGCGTGAGCCACCGCACCCAGCCCACATCTGCTTTTCAAAATTCATCAAGCTATCCTCGTTGTTTCTAAAGCAGTTAGGCTCTTTCAGGCACCGGTGTCTTTCACCATGCTGTTCTCTCTCCCTGAAATAGCTCTTGGCAAAGTCCTGTGCATCTACCAGAGCCTCTTGGATAGCATCTCTTTTGAGAACCCACTTAAGGACCCTCAGACCATACTCCCTAGCCCCCATTTGTTTCTTGCTTAGCACAGCTTGTCCCCCCAGACAGACTGCGACCTCTTTGAGGACAGAATCAGTATTTTGATTAAATTTATTTTTGCATGGGGCTTGCACATAAAAAAACGTTTATTGAGTAAACGAATCCTGTATGTTCCTCCCCCAAGGCAGGAAACGCTCCCTGGGAGGGAGAGTAGTCTAATGGTGAGCTAGGACGTTTGGACTCAGGGTTCCGAGGAACCGGGAGCGATCCTCGGTGAGCCAAGACTTCGGGATTTGACCAAAGGTAATGAGGGACTGGAGACCGGTCCATCTGACTTCCGTCGGCGATGGGCGGGAGTCAGGGGCAGACGCCTGCATCTTGGTTCTCACAGGAGCCGAGAGGCCTAGGCTCCAGCTTAGGGCGATCCGGAACTTGGAGGTTTGAAGCGCCCAGTTTCGGCTTCAGACCAATTGCGGAGGGCGATGACGCGGGGGCTCCTCGACACGGAGAGTCAGTAACACCCGGAGTGGGTGGGGAAGGGGCCCTTTGAGCTCGGGCCCCGCCCCTTTCCGGGGGCGTTTCACCGGATTGGCTGTCCTTCCATAACGTCATGTGGCTCCGCCCCGGCGCGCGCCCCGCCGCGTGCCCAGCCCAGGTAGCCGCAGCCTACGCTGCCTCGGCCACTGCCTGCCGCGCGAGGAGCCGGAGCCGGAGCCCGAGCCTGAGCGGCGCCGGGCCCGACTTGGGGCTCCTGGGCCGCGGCGGCGGGCGGGCGATGCTCCAGCGGCCTGACCAGCCATGGAGGCCGAGGCAAGCGGCCTGGAGGAGCTGACAGACGAGGAGATGGCGGCGCTAGGCAAGGAAGAGCTGGTGCGGCGCCTGCGGCGGGAGGAGGCGGCGCGCCTGGCGGCACTGGTGCAGCGCGGCCGCCTCATGCAGGAGGTGAATCGGCAGCTGCAGGGCCACCTGGGCGAGATCCGCGAGCTCAAGCAGCTCAACCGGCGCCTGCAGGCAGAAAACCGTGAGCTGCGCGACCTCTGCTGCTTCCTGGACTCGGAGCGCCAGCGCGGGCGGCGCGCCGCGCGCCAGTGGCAGCTCTTCGGGACCCAAGCATCCCGGGCGGTGCGCGAGGACCTGGGCGGCTGCTGGCAGAAGCTGGCCGAGCTGGAGGGCCGCCAGGAGGAGCTGCTGCGGGAGAACCTGGCGCTTAAGGAGCTCTGCCTGGCGTTGGGCGAGGAGTGGGGCCCCCGCGGTGGCCCTGGAGGCGCGGGGGGCTCAGGCGCCGGGCCAGCACCCGAGCTTGCCCTGCCCCCGTGTGGGCCCCGCGACCTAGGCGATGGAAGCTCCAGCACCGGCAGTGTGGGCAGTCCGGATCAGTTGCCGCTGGCCTGTTCCCCAGATGACTGAAGGCGCTGCTTCCTCCACGCCGACGCCCGCCCGGATTGCTCCCCGAGCCCTGGGACTGCTGAGAACCTCGGGACCTGGACGCCGTCCTGGCTGCGCAGGAGGGGCCACTGGCATGGACTAAGAAATCCTGACACCGAGGAGGGCCCCTCGTTCTCGCTGGCAGGGCAGCAGGGGGACAGAAGGCTGGAGCGGATGGACTTGCTGGGGGTTGGATTGGGGTAATAAACCGGGACGGAAGCGGAGCCCTTGGCCTGGGCAGCGTCTGTTTGGTATTCGCCGGCGTTGGGGCGAGGGTGGGGCACTGAAACAGGGTACCATTCCCATCCAGAGGGACTGCAGAACTAATGATCCCCCATTACCTCGAGCCAGTGGTAAACTAGAGTCCCCCGATCGGGTGCCGGGACCCGCCATAATCCGGCCCCTGAAGTGGCTCCCGCTCCCTTCCCGGCTCCTTCCTGTCCAAGACAATGGGGCAGGAAGCAGGTGCTGGGGGCCTAGAACCACTCGGCTGACTCCTCTGAGGCTGGAAGGGGCATAACAGCGCCCCCCACTCTGCCCGCAGGTACATGCAGCAGCCCTATGGGCCTTGAAGGGGAGAGGGACAAGTGTCTTGGCTTTTACCCCAGACGACTCTCTCCTCTCAGTCCTGGAGATGGGGCCGAGCCAATGTAGCCCCACTTGTCAGATAAGACAAAGTCCAAAAATATCAAAGAATTTGTCCAAGGTCATGCAGTGAGTCTGCAGAGCTACGGCTGGGACCTAGGGCTCCAGATACTCTCCCGTTAGCCTCTGGATCCAGTGAGGCACCCAAGCCACAGCTTCCAGCCTTTTATTCCATTTTGGTAGATTTGTATAAAAATACTCTCTTTAGGAAAATAAATAGCAGCTGCCCTCGCTGTGGAGGCTTGGATTCCCTGGAGCTAAAGGCTTCTCAGAGCTGAAATCTGCAGATCAGCTCATCACTGAAGCCTTGGGCGCCTCCTGAGCTGTGTGGTTCAGGAGGGGCCGGCAGAATGCCCTGGTCCAATCACCTGCTGCTGCTGGCAGTGGGGCTGGTAAGTTAGTGTTCTAGGTGGGTAAAGTGGCACCTTCTGTCGGGGGTAGGGTTGGGTGGATCACAGGAAGAGAGAGGGTGACGGAAAATGTGGCAGTGATCTGGAAGGGGTTAGGGGGCTCCAGAGGACCTCTAAGGATCTGCAAAGTCTCTGGGCTGCCGGGATTCCTCTGGCACAAATGGGAAATACTTTGTCTCTGATTTAGTGCAAATTGTGCTAGAGAGGCCAGCTCTAGAGAAACTGGGCAGCTTTGGTGGCCCCAAGTTGGCTGTACTGTGAAGCACAATATGGTCAGTCTCATTAGAGGGATGGAGAAGAAGCTGCTGGTGTTGGGTGTGGGATGCCGTCCAGGCCAGCTGGACTGGTGGGGGAAGGGGAGGAGACAATGGTTAGGGTGCTTCACAAAGCAAGGAGGGTTGGGGAGCCAAGGGGGTCAGAGGATGGGTCTCCGCTGCTGCTGCTACTCTTGCGATGAGCTGAGGCACAGGGCTCAGGAGTGCTGGGGTAGGTGAAGACCAGGCTGGGAGTAAAAGGAGTTAGGGAGGGTGTGGTCATGAGTGTGGGGGTGTGCAGTGCCTCAGGTTCAAGCACAGGCCCTGGGGAAAGGGAGATACAAGGTACAGGGCGGCAGGATGCTGGCGGGCTGCTGGTGCGCCTGGTACTGCCTGTGTCCCCCTCCTTGTCTCCTTCCGGGATTTTGCAGATGGGTCGGTGGGCTTCCAGCACCAGCTCCAGGCGCTCCTTCTGCTTCTGCAGCTCCTCAATCTCTCGCTGCAGCCCGGATTTCTCATCTTCCAGTTTGTCAGTCTCCTGTAATCAGGAGAGTCAGGAAGGTGAGGGCTGAATACCCTAGCACCTCAGATGTTTGAACTCAGGGTTCTGAGGAGCTGGGGTTGGCAGTGGGGGGTGGGGGGGGGGATGGAGAGTCTCTAGCAAGTCTGTACTGCAACTCCCATGAGCGCCTGGGAGAAAATGGGCACGACTCCCATCAGGCCCAGGCGTTTTAAGAGATTGCTGGCACCAGGCGATGGCTCAGGCCTGTAATCCCAGCATTTTGGGAGGCCAAGGTGGGCAGATCACTTGAGGCCAGTTCGAGACTAGCCTGGCCAACATGGCAAAACGCTGTTTCTACTGAAAATACAAAAATTAGCCAAGTGGGGCAGTGGGTTCCTGTAGTCCCAGGTACTCAGAAGGCTGAAGCAGAAGTGCTTGAGCCTGGGAGGTAAATGTCACAGTGAGCCAAGATCACACCACTGCAATCCAGCCTGGGCAACAGAGCAAGACTGTCTCAAAAAAAAAAAAAGGAGATTGCTGGCTGAGCTTCAGCTCTGCTCTGCTGCAAGTGAGACCTGCTGCAGTCAATTTGTTTTTTCTCTTTTTTGAGATGGAGCCTCATTCCTCACCCAGACTGGAGTGCAATGGCGTGGTCTTAGCTCGCTGAGCTCACTGCAACCTCCCCCTCCCTGGTTCAAGCGGTTCTTCTGCCTCAGCCTTCCAAGTATCTGGCACTTACAGGCACATGCCACCACATTCGGCTAATTTTTGTACTTTTAGTAGAGACGGGGTTTCATGATGTTGGCCAGGCTAGTCTCGCACTCCTGACCTCATGATCCACCCACCTCGGTCTCCTAAAGTGCTGGGATTACAGACGTGAACCACCACAACCTCTGCCTCCCAGGTTCAAGTGATTCTCCTGCCTCAGCCTCTGCCACCACGCCTGGCTAATTTTTTTTTTTTTTTTTTTTTTTTTTGTAGAGATGGGGTTTCATCATGTTGTTCAAGCTGGTCTCGAACTCCTGACCTCAGGCAATCCACTCACCACGGCCTCCCAAAATGCTGGGATTACAGGGGTGAGCCACTGTGCCCAGCCTGATGGCAGTCAATTTTTAATTGATTTTACCTCATCCTTTCCCCAGAGGGACTGCCCCTAAGACAAGGACAAGGATGGTGGGGAGGAGGCTACATATACTGGGGCTCTGGGGCCTCCAGGGAGACGGGGTCCCTCTGAG